GCCAATTTATCCTAACAACCCCATAAACCCCATGAATCTCATTAGACTACCCACAATAAGAGTAATATAGGTGGTAATATCACATTTATCTAGACAAAATAGATGATGTGGCATGTAATTAATGAAGAAAAAGAGGCATGTGGTAACATAGCTAGTTACTGTAACATCACACATATCAAGAAAAAATGAGTCTACAACATAATAAATGAAGTGATGCATGACACAACACATATATTACTACCCACTGTGTAGATAGTAATATAGACTAGTAACATATGCATGTTACTACTCTAAATTACTTCCCACTATGACTAGTCTTACTCGTGTTGTGGGGGGTGGTCATCCTGGCTCTCTATAAATAATAGAGCCGTTGTGGTCTATACTGGATACATGGTGCAGTCAATCTAGCAAGCTTGTAGCCCCGAACTTGCAAAGCTAATAGACATCACCCCCCTGAATAGCTATGAAGGAAGCAAGCGGCGTTCGCATGGTTACCGGCAACGGCGAAAACAGCTACGCCGCAAACTCCAGGCTCCAGGTTTGTTTGTTTTTTAGATGAGAGGCTCCAGGTTTGTATCCTGCACTGTGTTGCAATTCACTCTCGTTGCATGAAATAATTTGCTGTGTTTCATGCACGTATGCAGGAGAAGGCCATTTTGGAGACAAGGCCGGTGCTTCGCAAGGCCATAGAAGAGGTGTACACGTCGCTCTCTGCCCGACGGAGCACGATGGTCGTCGCTGACCTCGGCTGCTCATCGGGTCCCAACACTCTGGGCTTCGTCTCCGAGGTTATCGGTGCGGTCCGCTCCTGCACTCGGAAGTCTGAAGAAGAACGACGCGCCGTGGAGGTGCAGTTCTTCCTGAATGACCTGCCGGGGAACGACTTCAACCTCGTCTTCCGGTCACTGGAGCAACTTGAAAATCTCGGCGGGAAAGATACGCCGCCCTACTATGTGGCAGGACTGCCCCGATCATACTACAGGAAGCTTTTCCCTTCCCGGAGCGTCCACTTCTTCCACTCGTCCTACTCCCTCATGTGGCGCTCTAAGGTATTTATTTTTCTTTTCAAAACTAGTACTGTTCAAGTTTTAGCTACTACTCTCTCCGTTCATAAATATAAAATATATTAAAAAAAATTCTACAAGCCAAACCTATCTATTTGTTGATATTATGGGCATGTTCTGAACCTCTCCAACTTCTTGCTCCACAACATTCAAGTGCGAAGCTAGATTCACGAAGCTACGTGTGACATCGTTGTTCGCTAACTGGAGCTTTTATTAAATGGGTCGTAATATCAAGACATGATGTGTGTATTGCCCAGCAATCGCTAGCCTTGGAACAGGAGTAATAGCAAGAAATATCTACGTATTTTAAACTGATGAATTTTCACTTTTTCAGCGAATTAAAATCAAAAAGTATCTGAGTAGAGTGTGTGCAATAACAACAAATGTAATATAAAGAAATATCTGAGCGGAGTGAGTACGATAACACAAATGTAATTTTCAGCCAATATAAACTTATCTAAAACAGTCGGTATAAATTTGCTATGTATATATTTCCTATATTATGCCCAAGATTACGCTTTCAGTACTTTCTTGGAGTTCTCTGTTCTCTCCGATGCCAATGACGATGTGAATCCAATGATTTACTTTTTTAGTGTATATTAATATTACTCATATTTTGTTGGTCAAAAAAATAGTTGAAGATAGGCATGAAATATCTCAACGATATCCTGTCGCATTATAAGAACACACCTGAATGGTCTGAAGGCTTCACCATGCAAAGTTGCAAACAATTCAATTTGCTTCCATGGATCACCGACTAGGAGGTGAAAGAGTAGTAAGTACTGTTGGGCCATTTTATACAATATAATGACTCCATCATGATATGTAATTACCTAGGTGCCGGAGGAGCTCTCAAGTTGCACTCACTTGAACGAAGGCAACATCTACATTGGAAAAACTACTCCACCTATGGTGATTAAGCTATTCCAAGAACAATTCAAAAAGGACTTTGAGTTGTTCCTTACATTGCGTTTCAAAGAGCTTGTCAGTGGCGGTCGAATGTTGCTAACGTTTCTTGGCCGAAAGAATGAAGAAATGATGACGCATGGGGAGGTTGGCACCTTGTATGAATTGGTTGCTGAATCTCTCCTGTCTTTGGTACTAAAGGTACGGGACATGTTAACTAAAGCAACGATGTCTTGCTTTCTTTTCAAGTAACTATATTAGTCTTCATATTGTGGTTGTGTGCCACGTATGATGCAAAAGCCGGGTAAAGCCTCCTTCTAAAAAATAAAATTACTCTTCATGTTGACCAACTTATAATTGCATATGTAATTAGATATGTTCCTAAACTAATTCATTCTTGCATGACAACATTATATGAACGAGATTACATTGATGTTGAATACCGACATATATGCAAAGTGGCAGTACATTTTATCCGGAAAAGAAAAAAAAGGTGCCAAGTACACGTAAAAGTGGAGAAAAGAAATTCACATTCTAAAGCATGTCAGACAGAAGTGCACTTTTGAACGCTAAAATAAGAACAACGGTTCCACAAAATAAGATTTCTCATTTGATACACCCACCCTACCATAAGTATTATTGGTTTGCATGATAGGGTCGTGTGGAAAAGGAGAAGTTGGATTCATTCAACGTGCCCTACTACACCCCATCCGTGAAAGAGGTCCGGGAGTTGATCAACAAGAGTAGGCTCTTCGACATCGAGCATGCCAGACTCTTTGAATCCAACTGGGATCCTCAGGATGACTCAGATGGTGATGTGGTACTAGATTATGCTGGCAGCGGGGCAAATGTCGCTAATTGCATAAGGGCGGTGATGGAGCCGCTAATCGTAGACCACTTTGGGGAGGACATTATTGATGACTTGTTTGTGGTGTTTGCCTCCATCGTTGCAAAGCATCTAGAGAAAGCAAAGGCTAAGTACCCCATCATTGTGTTGTCACTGAAGAAGGCCACGTAATGGACATAGTTTAATTAGTGGTATATGCAGGTATTGTAAGTGGGAGGTCTGCTATGGTTAAATAGTTTAATTTGTGGTATATGAAGAGTATTATA